CTGCTGCTCCCTGAAGCTCGTGACCCGCCTGCTGCTGAGCCCTTGAGTTGCATTTGAATGAGAGCGCCATGGCTAATGTTCTACACATGCACCATTTATGCCACAAAACAAATCGGATCACTGTTAATTATGAAGCTGCTATAATCAGGCCTTCACATCTGTGTAATGTGAAGCGCAGTAGGCTGTATTCCAATAATGTAGGACTACCTTTGGGTCGCAAATTGTGAGCCATATTGCCTCAGTAGTAGTTACTGCATTCAAAGCAACTCCTTTGATAAAAGCTCATCACAGGCATATTTTTATCCAGAAATGTTTTTTAACACAAGCTCCTCTTTATCGGCTATTGACCAGAACAGCTAAAGCATATGGCACAAGTTCATTAATGAACGAGAGCACACAGCACTCTAATTTAATGAAACCACTTGAGCCATAAAAATCAGGTCTACTTAATTCTCCCCCACTTTCTTTTTCCTTCCTCTTTTGCATCTATTCAAAACTCATAATAGGATATTGTCAGTGATCCTATAAAGATATGGATTATATGTCCTTATCTTTGTCAAAGCAATTATTAAGAGATAACATAATTTGGGTAAAACAGTGACAAAAAAAAATTAAGATTAAAAAAAAACAAATAATTTTTCCACAAAATTATACATACATTTTTAGACACGCATATATGAGTTATTAGGGCATATCATTTGTATTTTAAAGATTACATGTTAGCAGCTGCTGTCTAACACAAAACTGCTATTTATTCAGTGAAAGATCTTCCTGTGAAAAGCAGCTAGACAAGCTGTACCCAGATGGCAAAGCAGCTACAGTTTAATTAAGCCACTAAAAGCCGTTCAGTTTTCAGTAAGGGTAATGTAATTTTGAATAATTGTAGGGGGAAAATTACTACAGCGTTCTTAAGTTTTATTATGGTAGCATGAATACTGCCAGTATTGAGTAGTTAAAGTTGAGTTGCTGTTCCTATTATAAAGCTTGCACTTTTCTTCTTTTCTTTCTTTTTGCCTTTGCTTGGAGGAAAGAGTTCCTTGATTACCTACTTTTCTAAGTGAATAAAATTAGTCTAAGGTTTCTGAACAGAAACTTCAGATGCCATACTTTATATATGATTTGGAAACTGAACTTTTTCCAGGATAGCATTTTATACAAACAGGAAAGTTTTTAGGAACCAGATTTACACATTAAAATCATGAGCCTCATCTGAATTATACGAATCACTTTCCTTCTTTCCTTCCTTCATGTATCAATTTAAAAACACCAAAATAAAAACAATTTTAGTACACCTCAAAACATTTACATATTCATACTTCAATGGAAAAATGTTATATTTCCTGATTTATTGCCAAAATTACATATTGAAAATATATATCCTGAAAAATACTACAAGATGTTGAATGTTAGGTTACTAGTAATATTTAAATATCAAAAAGTGCTCATTAAACAAATTTTTTTGAAAGTCATGAGCATTTCAAATAAATGCTTCTAATTATGACATGATTAAATTAAAAAAGGAATATAATGCTAAAGGCAGTTATATGTTACACTAAAAAACCATTACCAAGCAACATTTCTCATTGATAGATATCCTTATATAGAGAATCACTCATTGTTAATTTTCACTGAAAATAATCTGAAATGTTTAAAATGTCTCTGGCATATTTTAATTTACTTACATAATCTAGAAATCACTGGCATAAAACAATCAAAAGTAAGCCTATTATGAATGTACAATGTTGATATTTACTTGGGAAAAAAAAACTGGGAATATTTTTGGATTTCTCCATAAATTGTCAATATTTAGCTATATTTTTATGTGTTCTGGTATAAACCCATTTCAACTAACTTTTGAATCAATACGAAGTTTATGTAAAATTATTTTTTCTGAATTATTTCTTTATATATTTTGTATGCATGTTTTATGTTAAAATTATAGTTAACCTTTTTATAAACCTGTCTACTTTTAACAGTGTTGTAGCATATTTTGTTTTTTCCCCTGCAATCAAACACATTTTAACTCCTGACAATTGCCTAGAAAGATCCCTACCATTTTCTTGGCGACACTTTTGGAAGTCGTTTCCATTGCCTGTTTCATAAGGATGAGGGAGAATGACTGGCCCAAGGTTATCCAGCTGACTCACAGGTCTCCTGGTTTCTAGCCCAGTGCTTTTAACCTCTACATCAAACGTACTTCCTTAGGCAAAGCCAAATGGAAAAAATACATAAAAAACACACTATCCTGCCTTCTATACCATATATTTCTTTGAGGAAGAACTTCCATAATACCTGCCCTTCCCTACTTTCATTTTAGTAACATACAATTGTTTTTCAACTTCAAAACATTTTTAAGCTCCAGGTCTGCTGATCTCAGTAGAAATGTCCCAATATGAAGCCAGCCCAAAGAATATAACTGGGCCATTTGGAAATCAGAAAATTTGGAGGAGATCGAACAACATTAGCATATTCTTATGGCATTGAAGTAGTTTTTCAAAAAGGGTCAAAATGTTTTGCACATCTCTATCACACTTATATGAGGGAAATGGGTGGTTCTTAAATATGATAAATAAATATTTCAGATTTATTACAGTATATTATTCTAAACCAGCTATTTATTTCTTCTAGCGTACGGAAATGGTACATTAGCCAGAAGACTACAGTGTTAGTACAGAGTACTTGTTTGGCTGCCTAAGATTGCTAGTCTGTTTGCTCGTTCACTAACCAGAAGTGCACCACAGGGGTTGAACTAGCTCCACACTCAGAATGGTTAATGGCATTCTACAGTATTATCTAAGGCTTTCCCCTCCACCAATGTCGGCTTGCATTTGGATGTTGCATTGGGCAGCTCTGGCACCTGTTGGGTTCATATTTCTGCACAAAGCATTGTTATTTTTCCCACTGAAGTGGTTTCTATCTATGTAGCATGCTTTCGAACTGGTAGGTTGCAGCCAGTGTTAATAAATTGTTCAATTGTTCCAATAGAAGGTATCCTCATTTAATTCACTTTGGAGCCACCCTATTGTTCAATAACAAATACTGAGAAGGTGCAACTGTTGAAGAACTCCAGTAAATGTCCACTGCAGCTTTGGAGATGTAACCATTAATAAGAACACTTTTCCAAGTTATGAAAATAACATAACTTGTGTTTATTTGTACGCACTATACTGACTTTTGTATGTATTATTGTATTTCATTATCTGGACAACTTCCATGGAAATTACGAAAGGCTGTGAAACTATATGACATGTAACATGCAAATAGAAGAGCTGTCTCAGTTAGTTTTCCTTTTGAAAATACTTTAAATATTCAATTATTTAATTTTTAAGAAATGAAAATAAATTTACTGGTCATTGGTTACTTGCAATGATAATCCAATTTCAACTCTTCTACCTTGCTGGCTCTTCTGATATCAATGCAGATCCAAACAATTTGTACTCACTTTGTTGATAAGGAGCTGAAAGTATATGTCAATCTAGATTCTCATAGAAGAATGTTGTCCTGATAGTTGAAACACCAACTCTAGGAAGCAGAAGTGTGGAAACCACACCACACTTGGCCTTTGACATTATTAGCTTTGGAAAAACCTGATATGAACCAGTAAACTTGAGCTGGATTAATGGGCAAGTAGAAAGATTGCCAAATACAATTCCTTGAGTACTTCCTAAAGAACAGTGGTAAAAAGGAGGAGGTGCTGGGAGAATGGTTCTACTCAATTTAGAAGGCTGGCATTACAGTTGAAGATGACAGAAGATTATAAGTTTGCCTACCTAAGAAAAGAGAGCAGACCACAAACTGCCAGCTTGATGGATGGAGAGATGCTGTTGTGTAACATTAACCCTTCTCTTAACTAGGTAGGTATCAAAAGTTAACATAGGATAGGCAGGTATAGTATTTAATCATATATAGGGGCATATATATTTGCAAGGTCTATGCATAAGTTATTTATTTTCATAACTTGCTAAAGTGTGCTTATCCGAGGGAAAAGGAAAAATGCTTATTTTTGATACTTTTATAATAGGACAGAAGGAGAGGAAAACTTGTTTGCAAAAGAATATAATTAATGAAGCTTGAGGCTAGGAAAACCAAAAATTGTTCTTGTATAGCTTAGCTGAAATTGCTTTTTACTATCTTTTAGATTATCTAAAATGAGAAAAAAATGGAATGCTAGTTCAGACTGCCACTTTCAAATCCTTTGAACTTTTAAGAACATTTGGTGAATTATTATAAGACAATAACCACCAAGAAATCTTAAGTCTCTTAACTAAATAGATTTTAAACAAGAATTTAATATTTCTCATATGATTAAATAAATGTTTTGAAGGGGAAGTATATTTGGGCTAGTAAAGTGCGGGTTATATTAAGTCAGGATGGAATATTGTTTGCCTTATTACAGCTATTTCTGTCAAAACACCCTGAACAAATAGTAGGAGTTTCAGACATTGAAGATGATATCCTGGAAGAGGATCATGACCAAATGTCCTCAACAGGTCAGAATACATATTGTCCTTGTGTGGAGTCTAGAAAATTGATGATGACTTTTATTGAAAAGAAAAGAAATGTGAACATGATAGCTCATGTACAGTGCCTTAATTCATGTTTTTCCTAAAAAATAAAGCTCTCTGCTCAATTAGCTACAATGGCTGATATTTTATATATGCCTTAATTATATTTTTAAAAATCTTGCTTGCCAATTATGCCAAAGCATTTTTAATAGATCAAAATACGCTTAATCAAAAAATAAATTGAATATTTTTTCTTTGAATTAAAGTTTCTCTTCCATTTGAAAGTAAAACTTTCTTGCAAATAAAAATAACTAAATTACAGAAAAAATATACAGTTTCATTTTTAATTAAATTAGATGTAACATTAATGAATGTTATAGGGATGCCAGGTTTTGCATCACTGTTATAGCAATATGTAGGAATTTCTATAGGCTATTGTTTTAAACTCATAAGCTTATTTTAAACCGTTCTTTAAAAATGTAACTTTTCTCTTACCTCTTTTCTTAGTTCTGGATAAGTCTGGTAAGGTAATGAAGATTCAGAACAGAAGGCCTCGTGAAGTTGCTTTTCCAATTGACCAATACGTTGTTCTTTTTCAAATAATTTATCTTGGAGAGAAACTTGATTTTGCCGGAGCTGAACTTCACTTGCTTTGAGTTTTTCAAAACATATTGTCAATTCATTATAAAGCTAATTAAAAACAAGTAGATACATTTTATGAAAATGTGTTATCATAAACAAGACACTTGTTGTTAAAACAGTCTTCATCCTCTAAACAACTAAAAGTAGTTATCAAACTTAAAATTCCCCAAACAAAAATATAATAGTTGAAGACATCTCTCTCTTATATTCAATTTCTAAACCAAATACAGCAAATAGAATCAAGCCTATCAGCATGTATGTACTATGATATATTGATGTTGACAGCAAGATCTGTTACTCAGCACTTTAAGTCATATGGCAGATATATACTAACTAAACTAAACTAAATGCATTAGCAGACTAATTAAGAAGTAGTCTATTTTGGAATAACATTGAGGTATATTGGGAGAGAATGATAGAACATTTTTAAAAGATATACAGAAAGAGAGAAATCATAGCTTAAATAAATATGTAATTTTGTTGTCAATTCCACACAGTTCCATTTTAACCTCTACACCAAACTGGTTCTCAATTATGCTGAGAGGAAAGGTGAAACTGAAAAAGTCATAGTTAGATGATGTTGATGGGACTTGGAAAAAAAGAATGGGGATAAGTTTAAACAATAAAAGGCAGTATATGTATGTACTGAAAGTTACGTTTGGTTTGGAAAAAGAAATAGAAACTTATAACTATGTATAAGGTACTCAGTATAAAGTAATTACTTCTGAGTTACTATTTTTTCCTCCTCCTCTTCCTCCTTTTCTCCTCTCATGCCTTTTATTTCCTTAGCTTACTATTTCTTAGTCCTTCCCTGCATTCTGAATGTAATTTACACTAAAGGGAAATAAAAGGATGTGTGTGTGTGTGTGTGTGCGCGTGCGTATATGAATGAATTAATGAATGTATGTATATGGAAAAATTGGTCCAAAAAGTCTGTAGAATTGTTTTGTAATTTTGTAATTGTTTTAAGTTATTCTTCATTTAAATATATAATATAAATGATAACTATGAATATTTCTTCACCTGGATTAGCTGCTAATTGGGAATTCTGGAAATTTGGAGAGGAAGTATCATGTATGAGAATATTGAACAGTCCAAGAATATATTAATCATGATATTAGTATAATAATCATAATATTTTGTGATGTTTCTAAATCTCATCTATATATAGCTGCAATAGATACATTGTTGGAAATTTGAGCAATGTTTGAAATCACATCAATAGTCTCCAGAATAGTTTATATAGACTATCATTTCAACACTAATGTTCATACAACACAACTTTCTCCCTTATTCAAAGCAAATATTCTACATTCAAAGAAACTCCTTGACATCATTTTATATCGTATTTACAGTACTTCTACCAGAAAAAGAAATATTTTCTAAAAATATATACCAACTATTTTACTAGTCCCAAGCAGACAAAGTGCTCCTGCAGTGTGTTCTTTTTAATGAGACTCAATAGATTTGTCCTCACCGAAGACTCAAGGTGGTAAGTCTTAAATCAATACCAAGGATAATAAGACAAGGAGAGTTTCTCAGTCTCTAGACTATCTTATCACAGTACTCAGAAATTTACAGTTTAGAAGTTTTGTTTTAAAATACAAGACTTCCTTTCACTGAGGTCTTGGCTACTATATATTTATTCATCAGGATGACTGAAAATTTCATTTAAAAAGTTATTTCAGTGGACTACAAATCTACAAATACGTACATGAAGCTAACCCATTGAAAGTAGTTTCCCATTTAAGCAACACATAATTTCCATTCACTGTTCAGGATAAAACTACAATGGTCATAATATCCAGACTGCACTTTCCCAAGAATTAATTGAAGAAATACCAGGTACTATATGTCAAAAAAATTAGATTCTAGGATCAAAGAGCGGTAGAAGAAAACATATAGTTTAATAAAGAGGGAAGAGGTATACTTTTTGGTATGATATCGTTTCAGCCGTGTGAGCATCCTCTTGAGTTCTCAGTACTTTTTGTGTATCTGTATTGAGAGCCTGAAGCTGCTGGATCAGCTCTGCCTGCTGTGCTGCATGTTCGGTGTTTTGTTTGTAGAGATTCTGCAGCTCCTGCAATTCTTTCCTGTGCAAAGCAAGCAAGAAACAACAAAGTTGAACAAAATAAATAGCATGGTGATCCCAAATAATAGTCTTGTTAATTATTTTATTTTTTATGGCAATCTATTATTCTCTCAACTGTCTAAAAATTCTATCTTAATCATAACTGCATCAGTTTACAAACATGCTAAAATACTACTTTTTCATGGGCCCTGTAAGTTACATTAAAATAACTGTATGTATATCATTCTAAATAAGTGCAGGTTATATGTCTTAAAATTCTTAGTTAAATGTTAAAGCTGCTCAACCGTGAGATGGATGGGTTATAAATTTAATAAATTAAATTAAAATGTGATGTAGATTTGTTTGGGACAATGATGATCTCTCCTATTCTTTTTTATGTTTTTCAAACAGATCCTGGTGAGTGGTCCTGAGGTTTGCCAGACAACTGGAAAAAATGTTTAACTCTTAGAACTCTTAGAAACAAGATTTCAATTCATAGGAAATATATGCAATATAAGCACTTGTGCTAGGGTATGGAAAGGCACTTCTATTCAGAGATATTTTATTATATTATTGCTAATTAGTGGAAGTAACTTGCATTTACTAAATTCAAAAATAATTTGTAGAACTCTATGATAGTTCTTTGGGGAAATGGATCAGACCACAGAAATGGAAAGGAAAAATTATTTCTTTCAAACAAAATTAAGAATGTCTATGCACTTTTAATATTTTATCTCTCTATCTAAGCTATTCCATGGATATGTTGTTTCCTGTATATTTTATATATTTCTTTCGGCAGTAGTTATTATACAGGTATTCTGATAGACTACAAGAGGCTTATTATGCCCCTATATGTAGCTCCTATGTTGCTTTCTCCCTCCTTCTTCCTTCTACATGTTAGCTTAAATTATCTACATTTATATTAGTTATCATGGCTTAGCTAGCCGGGTCTTCAGGTGTTTTCCTCGCTATGAATTGGGAAGAAACTACGGTGTTGTTTTTTTCTCAGCCTGATTCTAGCCTTACTAGAATCAGTGTCTCCAGATTTGGCTACCACAGTTGCTGGCTGGCGTTTTCTTGGCCTTGTAGTCAGGTATCAATTGCCTCTGGTCTGAACTGATGCAGGAACTCCGGATCTCTTGGATTCTGACTGTGAGGGGAAATGTTTACTAATGTTGGTTTGATGTCAGTATAATATAAAAGTTCATGGGGCTGCTAGACTCTGCTGGTTTCTTCTCATTGTTTGCAGCTTTTAGCAGTTCTGAAAAAAACAACTCTTGTTTCTTCCATGCCTCTAGTCATCTGAAGCAAACTGGCTCTGCTCCCACAGATTGACCAAACTAACTTTGGGCTTAGATCTTTTGCTTTGCTCTGTTCTTGCCTGTAACACTCCTTTCCTCTTTCTAATGAAATCCATTGTCATGATTCCTCCCAACACACCCACATCCAAGTCCAAAACAATCTCCTTTTGTAGCTGGCATGCAGCTGCCTCAAAGGGAGGAAAGAAAAAAGGGTAGAAATGAGTAAAACTCGGTACCCAATAAGATCTGAGACTAACATCTACAATAGCCTTTAGAAGTCTTTTACAAACACATCTCTCAGTTGGCCTATGTTTAATTGTTAGATTTAAACTTTTTCCAAAATGATACTTTAATGCTATGCAAGGCAGCTTCTGTAATTTTATAGTTGGTTCAGAGTTCTGATATTTCTTTATTTATTTATTTATTTTATTTCATGTTTCTAGACTGTCCATCTCCCTCAAGGAATTTGTATTTTGTATACTACTGAGCGATTTCATCTAAAAATTAAATCAATACATTTGATTCTGGTCACCTAACCAGAAGAAATAGTATGCTATGCTATGCTATGCTGACTGGAGAATTCTGAGAGTTGAAGAAAATAACCAGCTTAGCAATTGAGCCATCTAAGTATGTATCTGGTTTTTTGGGAGCCCCAGGTCTTGAACAGAACCAGCCCATGCATGGCACATTCTCTTTTTATCATTGCACCTTTTGGCTACAATTGAGACCAAAATTTTGGTCACTAAGCAATGTGATTGTTAAACAAGTCATGTTAGACCTAACTTTACAAACATTTTACTTTGGTCCTTAGAAAATCATGTTAAGGTATTGAGATTTAAGAGCTGACCAGCTGTAAAGCTGATGCAATGTAAAGCCGATACAATGTAAAGCTGATGCAATGTAAGGCTGATGCAATGAAGATGAATCAGCATTGGTATTGCTGGTTTTAGACTAAGAAGGGGTCCACAGAAGTTTTACCACTTTAAGAGCTGTTTAATAAGCCAGCCATTAGAGGACGTATTCTCTTTCCTTGTGTCCTGTATCTATTGCAGAGATCCCCATGTAGAGTTAAGAAGATTGATTGCTTCTCAGGTATTTGGGACTACCTGTAAGTTTAAACTTTGTGCATTTTTTTTCTCTAAGTGAAGCTAGTCCCTTATGACTCAGGGGTGCTGTGCCTTTAAAATGCTTAATGCCCTTTTTTTTCCTTTTTTTTTACCATGGGAAACTAGCCCCCTACAGCATAGCAGTTAGGCTGAGCATGCCTCTTCAGCAGCAGGAGTAAGAATACAGCAAAAGTAAGCTGGGGCAGCAAAGTTCAAAGTGGTAGGGGCCAAACAAGCATAGATGTGTGGGAAATAGGAGGATAAGGGTGTTGCAGAGCCCTACAGTCGTAAATGCAGACAATCTGCAAAGTACTTGAATTTTGATCACATGACCGAGGGGTTTTTACAACAGCCCTAACTTCAGAAACCTGTCATTAAGTCACTTTGTTTAGCACCATTTAAACTTCAAATGATTGCTGAATAAATGTTTGTTAAGTCAAGGACTACTTGTAAAGCATATGGATAAAGTACTGCAAATCCAAACAATGTAACATTATCCCATTTTATTTATTGTATCAAACATACTTAGCTCTGGCCACATCCAAATCCTTTTGTGTTAATTCAGTCTGCTTAAGCCCCAGCTGAGATGCCAGGTCATCACATCTATTGTGTAGGACTTCCACTTGTCCCCTTGCTTCTCTTAAAGCCGATTCCAAAGTCTGGAAGACAATTGCAGTAGAACCAATAGCTACAGAACAGGATAACAATACTACATTTAAAGTGTAAGTAAAAACAAGAAGGATTGTTGATTAATCTAAAGTTTAAAAATGGGCGTTGGTAGAAGTTACCGCGAACACCTTTTCTATCTATGCTGCGAGAGAGCCCAGGATGGGTTGACTCCTTCCTATGACGTCATTTATCTGAGTCTGTACTAAGATATAAAAGCCAGCCCCTGGGGGAGACCCCAGCTTTGGTGAAGATACTTGAAAGACTGAAAGGTGTCTCTGAAAGCCCAATAAATACAGAAATATGTCTTACCCTCTCCGGACGAATCAAGGGAGGGGCTGGGCTCTCTCACAGCATAGATAAAAAGGGCATTCATGGTTAACTTCTTCCAACGCCCATTCTCCTCCATGCTGCATTGAGAGCCCAGGATGGGACATACCAAAGCTTGCATGTCCACGGGCGGGTCCTTGTCCAGTTCATCACACCGACTGTGGAACCAATCGTTGAAGCACCCGTGTGCCGAAGGCTGCAGTCGCCGAGGCAAAAGCAACCAGACAGTAGTGTCTGGTGAAAGGAGACAGGGATGTCCATGTGGCCGCACGACAAATCTCCTCCAAGGATGCTTGGGTCACCCAGGCAGCAGAAGTGGCCGTGCTTCTGGTAGAGTGCGCCGTCAGACCTCGGGGAACCGGAAGGGCCACAGCTTTGTAGGCCTGCTCAATGCAAGACCTGACCCACCTGCTAATAGTAGGAGAAGAGGCCTTGTGTCCCAAGTGAGAAGGGAAAAAGGAAACAAACATGGCTTCCGACTTCCTGAAGGAGGAAGTGCGCTTAATGTATATTCTAAGAGCCCTTCTTACATCTAGCGTGTGACACTGCTGCTCTAAGTTATGGTGCAGGAGAGGACAGAAGTCAGGCAAAACAATGTCCTGGGACCTGTGAAACCAAGTGTTAACCTTCGGAATAAATGAGTGGTCCAGACGAAGAAAAACCCTATCATCATGAAAGGTCCTGTCTGATGGAAAGCACAGAAAGTTCGGAAACCCTCCTGGCAGAAGTGATGGCAACAAGAAACACTACATTGAGAGTCAGGAAACGGAGAGACACTGTTCTAAGGGGTTCAAAGGGGGGCTTTGTAAGGGCATTAAGGACCCTATGAAGGTCCCAGGAAGGATACCTGTGAACCACCAGAGGGTGCAGGTTGGAAGCCCCTTTCAAAAACCTCCTGACTGAAGGGTGATGGGATAAGGAAGGAAGCGAACCCCATGAAAGGACCGAGGAGAGGGCCGCAACCTGCCTGCATAAGGTGTTGGGGGCCAAACCTTTCTCCAGCCCATGATGAAGGAAGCAAAGAACTTCTGCCAACTGGGCTGAAACAGGAGAAAGACCCTCCCTGAGGCACCATCGGGACAAAGCCTTCCAGATGGCATCATAGATGTGCCTTGTAGAAGGTTTGCAAGATGCCAGGATAGTGAGGATGACCTTTTCTGGAAGATCAGCCTCCTCTACCCGCTGCCGCTCAAGTGCCACATGGTCAGCTTGAACCACTGGGGCTCTGGGTAGAGCAGGGCCCCCTGGTGAAGGGAGATTAGATGGGCTGGGATCCTCCAAGGAGAAGCCACTGATAGGTTGACCAGGTCCGCAAACCAGGGCCTCCTTGGCCAATAGGGTGCCAGGAGGAAGAGCTCCACACATTCCTCCAACATCTTCTGAATTACTGCCGGAATGATGGGCAGCGAGAGAAAGGCGTAGAGGAGAGCCTTGGGCCATCTGCACCAAAGAGCACTGGTCCCCTCTGCTCCCTGGCAAGGGAGAATCTGGTGACTTGGGCATTTTGAGGAGTGGAGAAGAGATCCACTTCCGGTGTTCCGAATCTGAGGGAAAGATCCCTGAATAGAGATGGAGGAATGGACTCCTGGCTCCTGCCAGGCTCCTGCTGAGCCAGTCGGCCTGGGAGTTGTTGATCCAAGAGATGTGGTCCGCCAAGATCGACAACAGGTGTTTCTCTGCCCATAACCCCAACCGTAGAGCCTCTCTCATGAGGGCTTTGGACCTCGTCCCCACTTGCTGGTTGACATGAGCCTTTGCGGCCATGTTGTCCATAAGGACTAGAACATGAGAGCCAGTCACTGATTGCCTGAAATGCTTGAGAGCCAGAAAAATGGCTCTGACTTCTAACCAATTTATGGGAAGGGTCTGCTCTGATCTGGACCAAACGCCCTGAGCTATCTGGCCCTGCATATGGGAACCCCAACCCAGGAGGTTGGCATTGGTGGTTATCACTAGCCTGTCTGGGTCCCTGAACAGGAGTACCCTCTAGACTGACAGGGAATGCCACCAATTGAGAGATCTCTGGATTTGTGGCGGGAGTGGGACCTTGATGGATGAGTGGCTGGTTCCTGCCCATTGGTAGGGAAGCAGGAACCATTGGAAGGGTCAGGAGTGGAGCTGAGCCCATAGTCTGATGCCAATACAGGAGACCATCTTCCCCCAAAGTTTGGACAGCAGCGACAGGGGGACAATTTGATGTTGCTAGATCTCTCTGATGATCTCTGCAAGGCTCTTTCCACGAGCTGGGGACAGGAAAACCTGGCACAAGATGGTATTGATGACTGCTCCCAAGTGTTGCAATTTGGTTGTGGGAGAGAGCTGGCTCTTTTTGGTGTTGATGGAAAATCCATGGCTCTGGAAACATGACAGGGTAATTTGCAGATCCCGATGGGCCGCATGGATGGAAGAGGATAGAATCAAAATGTCATCCAAATAGCATTGGATCCTCACTGGAATAGAACACAGAGATGCCATCAGTGCTGCCAGAACCTTTGTGAAGACCCTTGGAACTGATGAGAGGCCGAAGGGCAGTGCTTGATACTGGTAATAGGTATTCTGATAACAGAAACGGAGAAACTGGCGATGATGAAGCCAAATTTGGATGTGGAGGTAAGCCTCAGTGAGATCAATGGAAGAGAGGTCGCCCTCCCGAACGCTCTCTAAAATAGAATGCAGAGTCTTCATTTTAAATTGCCTGTATTTTACAAATTGGTTGAGAAATTTTAGATCAAGAATGGCTTGCCACCCCCTTGAGGCTTTGGGAATGATGAAAAGGCGAGAGTAAAGCCCACATCCCCATTGAGAGGGGGGAACAGGTTGAATAGCCCGGATTTCAAGAAGGTGCTGAATGGCCTGATTCATGAGGGCTTGCCTGGAAATGTCCCGAGAGACAGGACAGATCCAAAAAAAATTTGGGGGTGGCGTTAGAAAGTCCAATTGTAAGCCTGACCTAATGGTGCTGAGCAGCCAGGCATCCGTCGTTGACTCCTCCCATTTGGAGGCAAAGAAGGCTAGGCGACCTCCGATGGGTGGGGAGAATGAAGGATTACTTAGAGCAACGGAGAAACGACCTCCTCCCCCCACAAAGGGCCGTTTACCAGTAGAAGGTTGTTGCCTGCCAGATGCTTCCGCCCGTTGGTCTTGGCGTTGGGAGTACGGCCTGTGAGAGCGGGGGGAGCGAGATGAGGTCTCCGCTCGGAAGGCAAGAGGGCGATAAGGAGCAGGGCGATAGTCGGCTTTCTTCCCAGAGGAAAAGAGAATTTTACGTTTATCTCTGGTTTCGATGAGATAAGGTTCCAGAGTGTCGCCAAAAAGCTTATCGCCTGCGAATGGAACTGAAGCCAGCTTCTATTTTTGGCGTGACTCCGCCTGCCAATTTCAGAGCCATAAAAGTCTTCTTGCTGCTACAGAAGATGCCATGGCCTTGGATGCAAATTTGGCAGAATTGAGAGTGGCATCTACAGTGAATTCCGCCGCTGCAATAATCTTATTAAGGTCTTGGTGAGACCGAAGGTCAGAAGCAGGCAATCAATTCTGGAGTTGGCGCAGCCACGGTATGGATGCCCTCGTGAAAAAGGATGCTGCTGTTGAAGCCCGAACAGCCCAAGCAGCAGCCTGGTGATTGCGCTTGAGGGTCTGTTCGGAGCATTTATCATCCGGTTTCAGGATATCTTCTGGCTCCTTGGGAGTGCCAGAAGATGAGAACGAGGCCAGAACTGGAATGTCAACAGAAGGCACTGCCAGGGCATTGTCCAGAGCTGCGCTGACATTGTAGAAACGCTTATCCAGAGAAGATGGGCGAGGATCTGCCGAAGGAGAAGTGCACTGTTCCTTGACCATGTCCATGAACAAGATGGGAGAAGTTAAATCTCTGCCTGCACTACAAGCTTGGAGAAGAGCGAATCCCCTTGGCTAGAGGGATTTCCTTGTGACTCGGGAGCCATTTCTTCTGGTGACAGCTTGGCAGTGACCAAGGCCTTGCTGAGTAATGGCCTGAAGAGAGTAGGTTTGAAGACCACTGCAGAGGATGTCTGCTCTGGGCGAGAATCCTCTTCCTCTGAAAGATTTTGGTCAAAAATCTCACCCTCTTCACACTCTGTATGAGAAGAATAACTGTGTTCAGATGGTGAAGGCCTTCCTTCCTCATCAACCTTCTCCCATTCTGGTAGAGAAGAATGGACCCTGAGGTCCCGTGGCTTGTGTAAATCAGGATGATAAGGCAAGGAACTTATAGATTGAGAAGGGAGAAGGGCCTGAACCCTTTCCAGAGGTTGAAGAATTTGCTTGAAGCCTTCAGCCAATCCCTGCCTAATGAGACAACAACTTGGATATCCCCTGGTCTATGCTCAGAGGTAGAGGCAGAAGGCCTGCTGCTGTGGGAGTGAAGGTGGCTTCAAGCCTAGATTGAGGAGAGGTTCAAGCCCTGGAGGGAGGGGGAGGAGCATAGGGCACAGAAGCCTGTTGGAAATAAGGCCCAGATCTGCTTAAATCCTGAGGATCTGACTGTACAGCAAGAGCCTCAGGAGACCAGGATGGAGGATGGAAAGGCTCATAGATAACTTCTCCTCCCCTGGGAGGGCTTGATTGGGGCCCACGAGTATCACCTGAAACATGTTGTAGTTGCACTCCCTTCTGTTGAATAGTTCTGTTGAACTGCCTCTCT